GGGAGGTGATTATGATCAAGTATATTGTATACATGTATGAAATTCCCAAAGAGTACTGTATTTAAAAATTCTAATTCCCAACCCATTCTTTCATTATTGACTTCCTCTCCGCAAGTTGCACTTGTACCCTATATATAAAAACATTTATGCTTTCTAAGTAGAAAACCTAAGTATTCTCTTTCATTCCTTATACTCATCATTAAGCAATTATTGCATGTTTGGTCTGCCCATCCTGGTTGAGAAAGCAAGTTCTAACAATTTGGAAGCTGGTAGAGGAGTAGACCTAACTTTAGCAGGTTTGTAACCCCACCCACACCCAACTACTACCTTCTCAAAGGTAATTGCACAAGCTTATCATCTCTACATGGTTTGGTTGATGAATATTTTAGCTTCTAAGATGTGTGAAGGTGATACCATTCTGTAGAAATCACACTCCATATGGGCTCATCTTTGGGCTACTGAGGGGTGTTGGGTAGAGCAGTGGACTACAGCTGTCAGTCATGTAATCACAAGGGTCAACAGGTGCTAAACTGTGATGCTCAGTATATTACATAAAACAAATACATTTTCTACCAGTGATATTTTTAACTTACAGCCTGTTTCAACTAAATCCATGGAAAGTAACATCATTGTTAAGTTACAGGACTTCTTTATTTAGAATGAATAAATTCTTTCACTTCAAAGCATTTGTTGAATGGGTACTACTTCCCAGGCAAGATTTTAGAAACGGAGTGTCTAGCAGTGAAGAAAATAGCCCAAAGCCTTACACCCCATCAAGCCTACATTCTCATGCAGTCTTTGTATCGTTTAATATCATTTCCTGCTTGGTTCAAATCTAATTCATGCCCTACCATTAAAACTGCTTCAGGAAGAGATTGCCATGTGAGTGCTTACTAAAATAGCACTTGGCTTCACTTCAAGACTCAAATGTGCTGACAGAATTAAAACCTGGCTGGTGCTGATGCAGCAGGAAGATCACAGGAACAAGAAAGCACACTTCCTTAAAACCACATCATACCACTCCACAGTGACCAGCCAGACCTCAAGGCCAGCATCCAGATCCACTTGGCTTGGGAGTTTCTAGATGTCTTAGTATTTGGCCCAACACCAGACCCTGCCATGTACTGGCTTCAACTAAGAGAATTGGGGTCACATACTCATGTATGTGGTCCCTTGACATTGAGTGCTCTGCCACTCTTGAGTGAGGATTCACCCCTGACTCTTGGGCTATCCTACTACTTATCTTAAAAGGAACTGAAATTTTACTGTTTGAACAGGGGAGAAATCAGTGGGTCTTTCTAAATACATATTATATGTATTTAGTAATAGATATCTCTTACATCTTATTAGTAGAAAAGTTAGACTTCAGGTCTGTCCTGTAACTACTATCTTAGTCCTGCCCTCAACTGTTGATTGTAATTAAAGATGCAACCATTTCAGGTGAATCTGATGCCAAGATATTGTTGATGAATCTTTGACGCAGTCTATGAAGGAGACACTGAAAATGGGCAGACATTTAGTTTACCACTGTATTCTGCTTTGTTAGTGCAGAGGCCAGCTACATCACATTATTTAATCAACTTACACCACCAAGTATTTTTAAACAGACTTAGAGAGCAGGAAGGAGACTAGAAAACTAAAGCTTATGGTACATGGACATATGAGGAGCCTCTAAGAAGCAATGGGAAATTGGCAAGGTTGTGGTGTGTTTGCAGCCACGAGAGAGATGGAGATAAAAACTGAACTACTACTATAAGGGATTAGCTGGTTGTTGGGACAAATTGGTTTCTTGGGCTTTGCTTATTTCTCTCTTTGCTCTTCTTTGATTCCTTCTTTTTCTTTTCCCTTTATTGCAAGTTCTCCCTGCTGCTGGTGAGACACATGCATGTCCAGCAGCCTGTTGCCTTTCTGACATGGTTTGAATGCCTTATCTGGGGCCATATTGGCAGAGCTGTGTCTATAAATGCCAGCAATAAGAATAACAGGTATGTGGCTGTAAGGCAGCCATGTGGCTCTCTAAGATCTGTTCTCATCCATAGGCTGAAGCACACTTATGAAAAGGGATGGGGGAAAGTGCCCATTGCCAGTTTTGTCGTTTAGTTCCATCCCAGCAATACCAGCACTGAATGTATTGAGACACACACCTAATGGTTATGTCATAGAACGCTGTTGTGGGAGTCTGAGATCTCATGCCATAGTGAAATAGGCTAGGGAGAATGTGTGATGTCCTTAAAGCAAGAAGGCTGTGGGCAGTGACTGTGAGAGAGGCCCACCCAGAATTGACAGGAGCTCGCTGAGATTTCAGTTTTCAAATGTTACTAGGAAACAGAGAGCAATAAAACCAAAGCATGTGCATAGTTTACAAATCTGTAAAACAAAAGAGGACTTTAAAATGGCATGAAAGGAATTGCGAGTACTAGGAGACTTTGAAGTCGATTATCGTTGTGGGTAGGTGTCGTGACAGCACACATCAGCGTTCCAGTGACTGAAGCCCCCTCATTTGTACTTTGCTGGCTGACTGTGCTTCAAGGATTTTCAGGGCTGGCAAAATTTCAGTTGTTTTTATTAGTCATAATGTCAGGTTGGGGTGATTTGGGAGTTCTGGGGCTGCATCCTATGCACTCTTCACTAAATCAAACTAGCAAAATAACTGGGGAGAAACAGAGAGAGTTTCATAGAGTTCTGACTGGCCTGGAACTCAATGTATAGCTGAAGATGACCTTGAGCTCCTGATCTTTCTAGCTCCACTTCAGTCTTCTGAATACCAGTAAATAAAGAAGGGAAGTTCAAATTCTGTTATATTTCCCTGTAAAATGTAACTTAAGGTAAGTAAATGAATGAAATGAAAGTTTTCTCAATAGAATATCCTAGCTAATAAATTAAGAATTTAATGAGACCAGGCTATTGTATGTTTGGAACTTCTAGTGAAATTGTGTCTCCTTCTAACAGAGATTATGGATTGCTTATAACATTATAGTAAGGATGCTATGCACCTCTTGGTAGAAAAATATCCCAGGTGGCAAAAAGAAAAATTCCCCCATCCCAAAGATAGGCATACCCTGTTCTCAGAATCTGTAAAGTTGCTACTGTTCTTAGCTGAGGGGAGTTAAATTTGCAGATAGAATTGTGTGTTCAGTTGATCATGTAAGGGAAAGGTTGTCCTAAAGTAGCTGCTTTGGTTACTTGTCTCTGCAACAAATGAAACACTGGAACAAAAACAGCCCAAGAAGGGAAGAGCTTACTTTGGCTCACAGTTGAAAGGGACCACCCATCATGGTGGTAAAGGTCTTGGCAGCAAAAGGTTGAAGCAACTTGTAATATTGTATCTGTCTTCAAGAAGCATGGAGCAGTGAATGTTTGTGCTCAACTTGCTTTCTCCCTTTTATGGAGTACAGAACATCAGCCCATGGAATGGTGCCTCTCACAGTTAAGGTGAATCTTCCTACCTCAATCAAACTAACCCAGATAATCTCCACACAGATGTGCCAGGAGGCTGCCATACTGTAGGTAATATCTCAGGAGTAGCCCAAACAGCTTGTCTCCTAGATTATTATAGATCCTGTCCAATTGACAGTATTAGCATGAGCCTAGGGAAGTCACAAACCTAAGGAAATCACAGAACATTCGTCTGTGGTCAGAATGCTTAGCGATTATTAAACTGACTGTTATTAACTTTGAGAGTGGAAAGAGGTCATGGACCCAGGGCTGGGGGAAGCCTGTAGAAGCTAGACAATGGCAAAGATTCTCATTCAGTCTTCTCAAAATAACCAGCCCTTCCAACACCTAGAGTTTAGTCCCATGAGCTTTTAGGCAGAATTCTAACATTAAGTACTATTAGATACAAAAATTATGTTGTTTAATACTAATGAGTTTATGGCTAGCAGTTCATTAAAACAATAGAAAACAAACACACCTCATTTCCTAGAATATACTCTGGATACAGTCTTCTTAGAAAACTCCATCTGAGGCTGGTCAAGGCTCCTGGTTATAGCTGACAATTTACAGAAAATACAGTAGTCAGAGGAACCTGTATGAGATGATAAGGCACAGGAAGAGAAAGGAGATTGTATTTTATCAAAATAAAGTGAAATACACACATGGGAGAGAGAAGGGGGAGGGGGAGGGAGGGAGGAGATATGAGAATGATGAGAAGGAATGAATACAGAAATCTTATTGTCTGGGAAACTATTGGTAAGTGATTCATTTGAGAAATACTGTCTGGAGGCTATAGGAAACTAACTAGTATTTTGTCTATCAACCAATAACAATAGAAAATGTCATTCAAATAAGCAAATTATTAGAGAGGAAAATATATTGTCAGTGAGGTGTGAACACTGATATGAGTATGTGCTGTTAACACAAGAATGATTGATAAGGTTTGATATTTTATGTTCGTTATTAAGGAATGATTGTCAGGGGGACTACAAAATATATATGGCATTTGGATTATTTTTGAGTAAGAGGGAGGAAGAATGATGGGTAGCAATAACCATAAATTGATACATGTTGCAGATGAGTGGTAAGAGGCTGCTGTAGATTTCTACCTTTTCATGGATTTTAGCACTAACACTGAGGAGCCAAACAGATCACGTGCAAGCACTCAATGTGACCACAAGCTGTTGGTGTGAAATTTCTGCAAGGAATTTTGGAAATAGGATCTTTCATTTCCATCCTTTTCACCCTGCCTGCCTCCTCTGCTCTGTGCAGCCTAGGGATGAAGGCCTCCTCTTTCTGTGCAAGTCAGTGGCTCAGGGGCATTCTCAGAATAGAATTTGCTTGGAATAAGTGAGCAAAAAGAATAATATGCATAATTGTATTGAACAATGCCTCCTGGTATTTTATGTTCATTTGGATTCCCCTCATCTCACTCCTGAAAATATTTTTAAAAAGAAGAAGGAAAGAAGGAGAAGGCAATAACTGTTTCAATTTTTGACAGCCTGGGGTATTTGGAAATGTTAGCTCATCACATTTTCCCTGTTGTGTCTGTGTGTCTATTTCAGGATGGAATGGGGAACTTAAGAATCACAGAAAAGGGTCTGAAGCTGGAAGGAGACTCCGAGTTCTTACAACCTCTCTACGCCAAAGAAATCCAGTCCCGACCAGTAAGTTTCTGATGAGAAAAGAAAGCAATTGATGCTCTAAAATCTAAATCTGGGGAAATCTACCTTGCTAGCTGCTGAGATGGCAATTTCAGATGGTGTTAAATTGCCATTTGAACCTGAAGACTCAGATAACAATCATAGGTATGGTGCTGTAAACAAGATTATCCCACCATGTCCCTTACCTTTGTGGCAGAGATGGTAGTAGCCACTGTTTATCAACTTCTAGATGATGCTATGAACTAGAAGATAATAAACACAGTAAAACCCTGGCACCAAACCTGTGAAGAACAATATTACTATTATTTAATTAATTGTCAATCATTTCAAAGTCATCTGTGATAACAGAACTAATGAATCATAACTTTGGTTTTCATTTACAATTCATATGTTCTAGCCCATGCTGTCTAGAATCAGTTCATTATCAAAAACTGTGATCTAAAATGGTATTTAATGACTGAATGCTGTGTGCCATTGAGGTACAGGCTGGCTTTGTGTGTGTGATTAATTCAAAGGTTGGTCATTGTGGTAGAAACTATTGCTACTCCATTTTACAGATTAGCGAATTAAGACATTGATAAGTAAGATGTCCAGAATAAATTTAAAAAAAAAAAAAAACAGAGCAAAGATTTCGATTCTGGAAATTTAATTCTAAAGCTTTTTTTGTCAACTAGTTTGTTGTATAAGGTTTTCATTTTTCTTTCTTGTAGTAAAATGCATGATTCCTACATAGTGTACCTTCAGTAGTTCAGGTTATCAAACTCAGTGGTTAATGATGTCTGTTGGTGGTGGTTGGTTAGGATGATGGTCTGAATGTGAACTGTCCCCCACAGAGTTATGTATCACCTGGTAAGTCTGCAGTGGCTAGTGCTTTCTTGATAGGTTGTAAAATAGGTAGGACGTGGAGGAAGTGTATCACTGAGGGAGGTCCTTCAGGTTTATCAACCAGCTCTGCTTCCTGCTACTCTGTGCTTCATGGTCATTAGACATGTAAGCAAGTGACCTCACACTTGTTCCCCCACAGTTTCCACCTGCTGCCATACCAACAACACACATACATGTGGACTTCGCTGTCTACATGGGAGCCAAAATAAATCTTCTCCTCCCACCCCTGTGTCACTTCTTATCAGATATTTGATTATAATGATGATAAAGCTAATACCCATCACTTTTTTACATAGGATTTTACTAATTTAGTTTGTGAAGAAGTAGAGCTCATTGGTTGAACATGTTTATTAAATCCTTCACTTTGCATATTAAATCCTTCACTTTGCTTCACTGTCCACATGAAAGCTAAGACTGACTAGAAAGTTCCTCTACCATCATTTACATAATATGCATTAATTGGAATAATTAATGAAATATGGCAACTTGGAATAGTGACTCATTTTGTATGAGGGCCATATGAGGTCCAGAATTATAGTAGACTAGATCTAACTCATGATGCTAAGTCCCTCTACTTGCAGAAATACTCCATTCTTATCACATCTGGAATACAACTCAAATTCCCCCAGCAAGGCCTGTCAAAATCTTTTTAAATCTGTTTTTTAGAAAATGTGTGTGTGTGTGCCACATACACAAGTACATGTGAAAAACCTCACCACAGTAGAAATAATGATGAACATGTCCACCACCCCTAAGAGTCTCTCTCTGTCCCCTTTTAACTCCTCTGTCACATCAAACCATTCTGTCCTCCCCTGCTTCCAAGAAACCATTCCATGACTCTGTCCTCACTTTGCATTTCTCTGAACTTCATAGACCTGGAGTCATATATGATGTTCATTTAAAAAAAAAAAAACTTAACCATAAAATACCTTTGCCACTGCCTGACTTTTTTCCTTAAAACCATCTGTTTAATATCTAACTTACAAAAGTTCTGTCTTTTACCTGCAATTAGACTGTCTTGGTTTGCCAAAAAGAGATAGGAGATTATGGTTCAAGGGTATAGGCTTTTACGTTTCTCTCGTGGAGAACATTAGAAGACACAGAGAAAAACTATCTTGGAGAATGTTGGAAGATCTAGAGGGAGATGGGGAATTGTTTGCTATGAGATGGAATCTGCATCTCCTTGACATGTCACAAGGGAAAACAAGTGTGTTGACAGAAAATGATAAAGGAAAAATGAACAGACCTTTAGGACTAGTCTATAGACCCTCCTCTGTACAGGTAGAAATTAAAGCACTGCAAAATTGTTAGGTGTGGTGACACCTGCCTAAGAAGACAAATTTACAACTGTGAGTGATATCAGTAAACATTAATTCCTGAATTACCAACAAATATCTAGGCTGAGTATTCAAAGCCTCTGAGAGTTGACTAAATCACCTCACTGAATGGTTGGGTAGTAATGTCTAGTGAAGGAGCTAGGACTTGCCTTGCTACCAGCAGCTCAAACAGACCTAAGCTCCATGACTGGAAAGCCCCATGGTATTCTGCTGAGCTGGCCTTCAGTTTTTCTCATCATACCAGCTTGGTGTGATAAGCTGGGTCACACTTGGCGATTTTCTACTCAGTAGGGGTAGCTGGCTAGAACACACCACTGAGCCCTTGAGAGGGCTCAAGGAGCTAGGAAAATGAACCCCCAAATGATGAATGATGTAGAAAATAGACCCAGTGATATCAGATCTATCCACTTATGGGACAGTCTCTATTTAATAAGTTTCTTATCAAGATGAATGCCTTGGGAGGGACCCACCTTCTGCACTGTGGGCTGATGGATATACCTAACCATTGTGAACCTCATTTCCCCACAGACATCAATCGACAGAGCTACTATTTTCTTTTTCAGATGGGCAATGATGACAATTTCACATTTTCCTGAAATAACCACATTTGTTCATTTGATGTGAGCCAAGAGAAGAAATCTGACCCTCACAAAGAACAGAGGATCTAACAAAGTGGGCTGATGTTTCTGACAGTAGACCTGGGCAGCATTCTTCTACTCACTGTGTTCTCTAGTCTACCAGTCTCTTTCAGTCATGGTGGTCCATATCCAATCATTCCAATCCTTTGTATTATGTGCCCTTGACATCCCTTGCCTCTAATGTTCCTTGCCCTCAGCTCTTGGTTTACAGAATTGCAAGTATACACACCTCATCAAGGAGTCAATAAAAATTGGGTTTTATTTTTCCCTTTGGAAAACTAAGAGGGAATACTTATTTGTAGCAGGAAGCTTAAAAGTTCTTATTAATAAAATCAAACCCGAGGCCAGTTATTGGGGTCCATGCTGGTAAATCAGAGAGACAGAACAAGCCACAGCTATCTCACCTCACCAGTTCCTCAGCTGGTCCTGTTTCCTCAGACTGGAAGCCTCTGAATCCTCATCCAGAATGAATCTCTGTTCTCTGACCCCAGATAAATTTACTAAAGTACACAATATTTTGGGGAACACAATACCACCACACTTATTTTCAAAAACTGAATTGTGCTTTGCTTTAAAAAAATAAGTATTCATATTCATTACACTCTTTATGGCTTGCTTTCTATTTTTCTCTTATGCCTAAGTGTTCCATGGTCATCCAGTTTTGGTGTCCCCACCTCAGCTTTTACTGATTATGCAACTGACAAATAAAATTGTGAATATTAGAGGCATACAGCCTTAATAATGTCTTGACATGTATTGTGAAGTGATCACTACAAGCAAGACATTATCACAATCCTTTTCTGTTGCCATGCAGGTTTTCTGAGCTGACTTCAAATGAACAATACATACGAATAACTTCAGCGCTTCCATGTTATACTTTAATCCGAGACTTAGTTATATGACAACCAAAGGTCAGGACCCAGTGAGTACATGTCTGCACTTCACCTACCCCACCACCTACCCCTAATGACTACTCTTCTATTCACTGTCTCTGTGAGTTCAGCTTTTCCAGTTTCTGCATTGTACTGAGATCGTGTGATGTTTGGCTTTTTGTGCCTCAGCAGTTTCCCTTAGTTTAGTTTCCTCCATGTTGTTAAAACTGACAGTTTCATTTTTAGGCCTCAGTCATATTTTATTGTATAGACATACACATTTTCTTCATCCACTCATCTGTTATGTATGCTTAGATTGACTCCATGTCTTGGCTCTTGTATAATGTTGGAATAATCTCAGGAGCGCTGCCACCTCTTTGCCATAAAAATTGTTTTCACTGGCCGTATATTTTCAGAGATGGATCACTATGTCATATGAGAGTTCTTTTTGTTTTCTCAGGAGTGTGCATAGGTTCTCATCTCATAGGTACCCACCTAACAGCAGCATCTAAGAGTTTTGTTTTCTGTACATATTTGTCAGCACACACTATCTTTCTTCTTTTTGCTAAGGCACCTCTAACAGATGTGAGATGACACCTCATAGTTTCAATTTGCATTTCACCCATCATTAGTGATATTCCTGAGATTAGTCTTAACAAGCCTGTCATCCATTTGCATATTTCTTTTGGGGAAAAATGACTGCTCAAGTCCTTTGCCTTTTCTTAATCAAATTGCTATTCTTGGTATTGAGTCCTGTGTGCTCTTTATATAAGTTTACATCAGTTCCTTGCTAGATGCTGCATGTTGTACAGATATTTTCTTCCCCTGCAGAGGTTGGTTTCTCACTTTGGCAATTATTTCCTTTGCTTTTGCCATGCAGAAGCATTTGTGTGTATTTGATGGAATTCTGTGTAGTTGTTTATATTTGTTTTTGATGTCTTTGGTTTTGTTTCTTATAAAAAAAAGAATGAAAAATCACAGGCAAGATCAACCTCTCCTTTTTTTCTGTTAGCCATTTTATCAACTTAGGTCTTACACTCATCTATTTTATGATGATTTTTGAGTATCAGATAAGATTACAATTCTATCTCTTCCTGCTCGCCTTCTTTCTTCTCTCTGCCCTCACATGCATATGTATATATCCCGTTTTCTCTGTGCCATTTATTAAAGGGACTGTTCTCTCCCCATCATGATTTTTGGTTCTTGCAATAGAGAACAGTTGACTGTGTATGAGAGGGGCTGTTTCTGGATACTCTGTTCTTTTTGGCTGA